CACCCAAAGTGCTAGGATTACAAGGCTTGAGCCACTGCATCCGGCCAAAAAAATTTTTTTTTCCAAAAAGTCTTCATAGTCAAACCAAGCAGTTCAGCCACAGTCCCTTAATCTTGAAGAGAAATGTATTTTCTTTTTATTCACCTTCAGGTTTTCATATAGATTACACAAGAAAGCTCAGGCTGAGAAGAAAATCTGTTTCAAGCACAGTGTTGATTAATGGGCTGCCTCAGTTTTACAAGTTGATGGTCTACACCTGGTGAACATGTCACTCCCTTTTGGGACGTCCTATGGCAGGAAAACTGAGAGGTGGCTCTGTCTGTGCTGTGTGACAGCCACAGAGCCACTGCTGCTGCAGCGAGCCTCCTTCTCCCCGCGGGCCCCTGCGCCTCCTGCTGCACCTGGGCACCACCTCGCTCCGCTTTTCCGCACACAGCGGGAGGCCTTGCCTCATGGGTGCTGAGATCAGGTGCGGCAGCTCGCTTATTCCAGGCTTCACACCTGAAGTTTAGGGCTATTTGATCCTTTCCCTTCATGGGAGAGGAGAGTGGGAGCTGAGATTTTATGATGAAAACCAAATAATGACAAGCTTCATTTGCCCATTTGCAGGCGTACTATTTAAAGGTTAAATATTTCTTATATGCAAGTTTCAAATATCACTCAGTTTACACAAACGGCTAGTTCTACATACTCATTCTGGATGTTTTTCCTAAGGGAAGGTTTGGCCACACTGGCTGACGCCCTCATGGCAGCTGGTCTCTGCACTGAGAGGGGCAGCCAGGGAGCCCAGCGCAGTGAGGGGCATCTATTCACCAAGGCGCCAGGGCCTGGCTCCCCATCAGAACCGGGGAGTTACAGTGAGTGGCACATTGAATCCACATCTCCGCAGTGGATCCCGGGCTCTGCCTGCAGGCCGCTCCCCGACTCACAGCTGGAGCCCAGCAGGCTGGCCCCAGGGCCACCCTGCACCCACTCACCTGCCACTTGTTCTTCCGCCAGGTGCTCCAGGGGCAGCCGGATGGAGTCGTGTTCCACCAAGGAAGTAATGAAATGGGGCTTGGCCCCCTCCACTGGACTGTGGTGCCCACCCGCGTGTCCCTTTGAGGTCTGGTTTGCGTGGAAATGTTTCACCACAGAATGGATTACTAAATTATTTGACTGCAGAGACACAGCAAAAAAAGCATTTACAAAAACTGTGCTGAGGTAAGGGTTACAGCAACACTTTCTGTTACTTAATTTCTTTTGTGGCTAATATCAAAAAAGCTTCAAAGACACTCAGCTTCCTGAGTTGGACCTTTTGAAAGATTTGGGGTTTTCCAACATTCAAAAACTTGAGATTCATTTCCAGTCAATCATGTCTATTTTACTGTTAAGCAATATTATTAATTTTTAAGAATTTATATAAATGTATTGGTATAAGTGCAGTTTTGTTATATGCATAGAATATTATGAATTTTTAAATTTTATAAATCTGCCATAAAGAGTATTTTGTCCAGCCACCCACTACTGGTGGGAGTATAAATTGGTACAACCTCTGTGGGCCATTTGTCACATCTACCAAATGAGCCCCGTGACCCAGCAAGTCCAGTTCTTGGACTTCTTCCTACAGCTACACTCACAGTGAAACCAACTAGTGTGTATAAAGGTTATTTATTGACATTAAGTGCAGCACTGTTTCTTACAGCAAAACCGTGGAAAGCCCTTAAATATCTATCAATTAGGGATTAAAAGGAATGATGCCAGGGCAAAAATGATGGGGAAACCTCTATGGAAATAACAATGCAAAGCAGGTTACTTTACATATTACATTACGAAAATCCTATTAGCTACCTGAAATTTACTTAAAGGATATATACTAATTATCTCGAGCTAGTATGCAATATAGCAAGACCACACATTACTCTTTCTTTCTTTCTGAGACAGGGTCTCACTCTCTTGCCCAGGATGGGGTGCAGCAGCGTGATCATAGCTCACTGCAGCCTTGAATTCCTGGGTTCAAATGATTCTCCCACCTCAGCTTCCCTACTAGCTGGGACTACAGGTGTCACCACCACACCCAGCTAATTTTTTTTTCTTTGTAGATATGGACTCTCCCTATGTTGCCCAGGCAGGTCTCAAACTCCTAGGTTCAACCAACTCTCCTGCCTTGGCCTCCCAAAGTACTGGGATTACAGGCACGAGCCACCACACCTGGCCTACTCTTTCTTTAAATGAAAATGTAGCAAAAGGGAATCACTTTCTGTGTATTTTATTATAACTTGCAGCTAAAAGAACGTGAGCGTGTTCAGAAGCTTTACCTCAGTGCCCCCGGAAGTGAAGATTATATCTTGAGGTTTCCCCCCTATCATCTTCGCGAGGCTTTCCCGGGCTGCATTTATAATATCCTTGGCCTTTCTTCCTTGAGGGACCAAAAAGGAAATTCGTTAACATTGCTTCACCAAGCCCTATCAACGCTTCTAAAAGGACAACCAAATACAAAGGAGTAAGAGGTCTGCGTGGGCCGTTCTAAGAAAAACCTGCCCCCTTAATGTGAGCACAGCAAAACACTACAACCTAGACACAACCTGGCAAAGCGGCGGCCGTGAGACAGCAGCGAACCAGTGACCAAACTGAGAGTTATTAACTCCATGAGACCCAGAAACAAGTACGGGAGGTTGGCCAAGAACCTGGACGTCCCACAAGATGTGGCTTTCTTCTTACCAGTTGCTGCGGGGGGAAGCTGTGGCCATCTGTCTTGCTTCCCATTCAACAAGAGTGGAGAATGAAAGGATGGAATGAGTTGCAAACAACAAAAATAAGCAAAAACAGAACTCATGACTCCTCAACACAAAGTCCAGTGCCATATCTCATTCTGCATGTCGCCCACGGTGTACCTGGGCTGCGAAGGTTACTGTCTCAGGGACACACCTGCTTTCAAACAGCGCTATGCATCCGGCCATCACCCAGTTTCACTGGCTAGAAGGAAAACACAGGAACCATGCTTGCTGGGGCAAAGAAAGAAAGGCTCTGGCATGGGAATTCTGAAAGTTTCAGTGACCATCCTTACTGTACACACCAGGAGCCCCCAAACTTTTTTGACCATTCGGTCTTGTTTAAAAAAAAAAAAAATTGAACAGGCACCACTAAAACATATACTATTACAAAACATCATAAAAAACAGAAACATAAAAAGCTGAGGTAAAATAAATACACAAAGTAATTCTGCCGCTCCTTAACGCTACTGTATAGATGTCAGTTTTAGTAGCAGTTTCCTAAACACCTAAGGCCTATGGTGTTTAGGAAAACTCCAGCATTTTACTTGGTGACACTAAAAGTTACCGTAATAAACTGTCACCCTCACTCTCAGCCTTCCCTCTCTCAGTGATAATGGTTTGGCTGTGTCCCCACCCAAATCTCATCTTGAATTGTAGCTCCCATAATTCCCACGTGTCATCAGAGGGGCCCGGGGGGAGGTAACTGAATCACGGCGGCAGGTCTTTCCCATGCTGTTCTCATGACAGTCATTAAGTCTCAGGAAATCTGATGGTTTTATGAAGGGGAGCTCCCCTGCACACGCCCTCTTGTCTGCTGCCATGTAAGGTATGACTTTGCTCCTCTTTCGCCTTCCTCCATGATTGTGAGGCCTCCCCAGCCATGGGAAACTGTGAGTCCATCAACCCTCTTTCCTTTATAAATTACCGAGTCTCAGGTAGGTCTTTATTAGCAGCATGAGAACAGACTAATACACTGAGGAAATGGCAACTCCATCCCTCAGCAGCCCAGGGCAAAAGCACGGGCTCTTTCTCTTTTCTTTCCCCACCAATTAATCCACCAGCAAATGCCGTAGGCTCTGTGTTCAAAAGACGTTCCGAACCTGACTCCGCCTCTCCACCGCCCAGCCATCAACCAAGCCAAGGCCACTGCTGTGATGTTCTCCTAGCAGGCCCCCACCAGGGTCCGTTCTCCACAGAGTGGACAAGGTAATGCCTCAAAAACCCAAACACATTTTGGGCACCGTGCTTCATCCCTCCCCAGCAAGGTGCTGAGTACACAGTTGATGCTTAGTCAGTCAGTGCCGCTTACGTCAGCGGTTTCCAAAACCCCAAGGCCCTCTCACGAGCTCCACAAAGTCAAAACTGTTTTCATGATGATACTAAGAGATCAGCGGCCTTGTTCACGCTCCTTTTCTCACAGGTATACAGTGAAGCTTCCAGAGGCTTCCGTCGCTATGACGACGTAGTGACTTCAGTGGGCTGGACGGGGAGGTCTGAGCACTGGCTATCTTCCAGCAACAGGCTATCTTCCACACGCACAACAGGGCCACGCTCACGAGGTTTCTTCTGTTTTGCCGAAGATAGTTTATTTTTCACAAACATTCATGAACGCTGAGCTTATTTTCAGGTTTTTTTTTTTTTTTTTTTTGCTATTATAAGCAAGACTGTGATAAATATCTTAGGTATGTAAAATCTTTCCCCACATCCTCAACATTTTCCTTAAAATAAATTTCCCTCAAAGACTTTAGATAATAATATTTAGGCCGGGCGTGGTGGCTCACATCTGTAATCCCAGCACTGTGGGAGGCCAAGGTGGGTGGATCACGAGGTCAGGAGTTCAAGACTAGCCTGGCCAATATGGTGAAACCCCGTCTCTACTAAAAATACAAAAATTAGCCGGGCATGGTGGCGCGTGCCTCTAGTCCCAGCTACTTGGGAGGCTGAGGCAGAAGAATCGCTTGAACCCAGGAGGCGGACGTTGCAGTGACCCGAGACCTGAGATAGTGCCACTGCACTCCAGCCTGGGTGAGAGCGAGACTCAGTCTCAAAATAATAATAATAATACTTAAATATTATTAAATAATGTTTAAATAATAATACTGTGAAAATAATTAAACCACTCTATAAATTGATTTTTTTTCTTTTGCATTTCTATCTGAGTAGCAACAGAAAGTGAACTGCAACACTTTTGAGTTTATGGTTCTTAATTTGTGGAAACAAAGGCTGTCAAGGAAACCTAAAAGCCACTGCCAGGCTTCATTCAGGTCCAGAACATGATTTCTCCGTGAGAGCGATTCCCAGACTTTTTCATGAGACAATGCCTGTCATCGGCATTTAGTTATTCTCCGTATTTTCAAGTTTAATATGTCAGAAAGTTCAATTTTACTAAAGGAGAGACTGGATACAAGGCAATGTGCAGAAGATTAGCCAGAACAGACCAACAAATAAGCCAACAAATAAGTTAATGAATGACTAGTATCTAAGCTGAGGGCTTTGTTATTAAGTTGCTGTGAAACTTAACAGCAACGGAATATGAGAACATATTAAACCTGTAAAGTTGTACACAAGCGTTACTAAACCATATGGCCTGGCAATATTCTGTTTGAAGTTATTTTAGTTCATCATAATCCACAGTTAACATAGTTTGTCTTAATTATCCCTAATAAACATTAAATGAGAAAGGTAAGACTTGAGTTTGCTCATCTATCTGAAAAACAGAATGTAACTCTGCCATGTAACTGACTTGAAGCAAATTATTCTCCAAAACCCCCAATTTAATGTTCTACATTACAATAAGAATAAACTGGAAACATATAAGAATATTTATAACTAATTAATGAAAAAGTAATTTTCATTTTTAAAAAGGGCCAGGATTGTACATTATCCTGATGACCTAAAAGACATATTTTACGAATTCCGTAAGGATTGACTGAGCTAGATCTGTGCAGTGCTCAACAGGCACTGACTGCCACTGCAAAGAACTCTCAGTAGACACCTTTCTCATCTGGGAAAGGGTGACAGGACAGCATGTTAAAGATTAAACATTAAAGGTTAAAGACTACAGTAGCAGCAAGGCTCAGCTTACAAATTGGGACTTCTCAGAAAAGAAACAATCAAAAATTACAGCTAAAGATTTGCAGCTAACAGAAATCTATTCAAAACAAAGCCATCACATGTGGGTGTGCAATTTCTCTAAGAGCGTCCCATCCCCATTATCTCCCATCTGTGAACATGTGCATCTTCTAGAATTACCTGCTGGATACAGGCTGCTGGGATTGCCCCAGGCTTCCCACATGGCCTCGGTCATGGCTTGGATAACTTCTGGCTCCAGGGGAGTGGTTGCATTATAGTCCATATAAACTTTCCTGAAGGAAAGAAAGCAAAGACACCCCTTAAGGAAAAGGAGACAGCACATGGGGAATACGGCTGCTCTGTGTCTATCCCATCAGCAGGAACAAATAATGTCAAGGGCACGGCGGTCTCCTGCATAAGCACTGCAGACACCCACAAGCTGCACTTGGGAATATCCAGGATCTGCACTACTTGTGGAAAACGTATGCACAATTTCTAATAATCTAGTTTTTGCCAATTTCTTTTATAATTGATAGGACTTGGATTTTCATTTAGGTTTTCAAAACTTCTTTCTAGCAAGGCACAGTGGATCGTGCCTGTAGTCCCAGCCACGGGGGAGGCTGAGGCAGAATGAACTCTTCAGGCCAGAAGTTTGAGGCTGCAGTGAGCTATGATGGCGCCTATGAATAGCCACTGCACTCCAGCCTGGGCAACACAGCCAGATCCTGCCTCTAACAACAAACACTCTTTCTACCCCTTGGTAGGATTAACAGTCTGTTGGGCCCAGATTACCCATCTGACAGCTATAAAGGGCAGATCGTTGGCCTCTTTCTTATGGAAGGAGGGGAACAGCTGCATATTCCCAAGGGAACTTTCCTGTCTGCTGTTTTAACTTCATCAGAGTTTCGCCTTATTTCCCCATACCCGTTTTTGCGATGGCCTGTGGGGTTCGTGGTGACTTGGGCTTCTCCCTGGGGCAGGTGAACTTTGGCCCCAGACCTTGCACTTTCCGTTTCTTTGCCCAGAAAAACTACATGCCCTGCCTCCACCTTACTTTTTTAGATCTTTGTTCCAACTTAGTCCACTTGTGACCCCCTGCCCCGCAGCTCTGTTTAAAACTACAGCTGGCTGGGCACAGTGGCTCACGCCTATAATCCTAGCACTTTGGGAGGTCAAGGCAGGTGGATCACTTGAGGTTAGGAGTTTGAGACCAGCCTGGCCAACATGGTGAAACTCCATCTCTACTAAAAATGCAAAAATTAGCCCTACTAGGGAGGCTGGGGCAGGAAAATCGCTTGAACCTGGGAGGTGGAGGTTGCTGTGAGCCGAGATCACGCCACTGCCTGGGCAACGGAGTGAGACTCTGTCTCAAACAAACAAACAAACCCACAAAACTGCAGCCACCTATGTCCCTCCCTCCCCAGCCTCCAGGTCCCATGCTCTCCTTCCTTTTCAGGCAGCAGCAGCATCTGACACACTAGACTTGTTCCCTTACTGTCCACCTTCATAGGCTGACAGAAGTATGGCTCCACGGGCACAGGGGCTCTGTTTTCCTCACCGCCCTGTCACCAATGCGGAAGCCCATGGGTGCCACACAGCAGGGGCCTGATTTTTATAAGATGACAAAATAAATGCCACAGAAAGTACAGATTCCCTGAAAGATCCCTCACTAAGTAAAATTTATCTGTATACGTTTTTACTAATATCCAAAATCTTTGAAAGCCTTTAGAAACATGTGTAGTAGTCCTGCCTGATATTAATTTACCTAGTTTTAAAATAAACAGCGCTTACGCCAATCCACATGAAACCCCAGATACAATGACTAACTATGGCTGTTAAGACACAGTGTGGACAGAATGTGCATTAGTTGTAATGAAGCATCTTTTCTGTTCAAAATCACTCAATAGGCTGGGCACTGTGGCTTGTGCCTGTAATCCCAGCACTTTGGGAGGCCAAGGCGGGCCGATCACCTGAGGTCAGGAGTTCAAGGTCAGCCTGGCCAACATGGCAAAACCCCATCTCTACTAAAAATACAATAAAATTAGCCAGACGTGGTGGCACATGCCTGTAATCCCAGCTACTTATGACGCTGAGACAGGAGAATCACTTGAACCCGGGCAGTGGATGTTGCAGTAAGCCGAGACTGCGCCTCTGCACTCCATCCTGGGTGACAGAGTGAGACTCCATCTCAATTTAAAAAAAAAAAAAAAAAATCACTCAATAGGTACAAGGCTTTGACAAGTTTGACTTGCCGTCCTTTACCACTCTGGTACTAGTATTAATGTCAGGCCTCTGAGCCCAAGCTAAACCATCATATCCCCAGTGACCTGCATGGATACATCCAGACTGCCTGAAGCAACTGAAGATCCATAGAAGTGAAAATAGTCTTAACTGATGACATTCCACCATTGTGATTTGTTTCTACCCCACCCTAACTGATCAATGTTCTTTATAATCTCCCCCACCCTTAAGAAGTTTCTTTGTAATTCTC